CACCAATAGCTGTCAGCCAAGATGGTCAAGGACACAACCCCATGCTCTGGCTGTCCCTAAGAGCTAGGACTGGATGACACGATGGGTCACTCAATAAATTACCCTGTTCTGTTAATTCCTTCTGTGGCATCTGGCACTGGCCCTCGCTAGACATTAGGATACTGAGCTAGACGAACCACTGCTTTAACCCACTATAGCCACTTTAAGTTCACAGACCATCATCATAGGGCACCATCCAAAGCCTGATGTCATTAGGCTCCTCCAAATCTTTGTGAAACATTTGAGCTTTTAAGAGTTTAATTTTGAAAGTTTAAAAATGGAAGGTAACGTTTAGAAAATATCTTTTGCATCTGCCACTGATAAAGTCTTTTTTGGGGGCAGACACCAATCTTACTCTTTGTAGAAGAGATATAAGATTCATCTGTTAAAATACAAAATATTATTGGCTGTATAATTTTAGATGTCCCATAATGGAGTTAAGTCGAGTTTTTAAAATGTTTTTATTTACACCACTAGATGGAAGTGTAAGGAAACGCATAAACAAGCTAAATAGAACTTACTGAAGAAATGGGAAGTCACCTTCCTTGTCTGCAAGTGGTTTGTAATAGTAGAGTACTGTGCAACAGCTAAGGAGAGAAGGCTAGTAATTAACAGTAGTTTTACAGTAAGTTTTATTTAAATGATTCATTACATTGTTGAAAAATTATTATACACAAATGCTGTCCTGGAAATATTATTTGTGTAAACTACCACCACCTACTTCTCCATAGGCAATGGTGTTTCAGCATTATGCTGAAGTCTTTCTCTAAAAGTTCAGCCTCTGGCATTCAATTCAACTCCTGTATTCAGCATTTCTTTTGTGTAAGGCGAAGGGCCCCAATCCTGCTCCAATTGAAGTCCATGACAAAGCTTCCATTGAAACCAATGGAAACAAGATCAAGTCCTCTGTCAATGGAAGTTGCATCATTATACTGAAACTTCCTGGTTAGAAGTCCAGTACAATGATGATGCTCACTGAAACACATAAAACAGTTCATCATTGTGTTTCTAGAAAGTACTGTAAAAATTTATTCCTATATTTATCAGAGATGCAAGTGCTGACTATACAATTAGAACTATCAATATAGCTTGCCTGTAAAGGTTCTGTAACGAATCTTTATGTAGTATAACCTCAAAGTTGGCTAACTTAGGCACGACATTTAGCTTTTGTAAAACTTGCAATTCACAGAAATAATTTATACTCGCATGTTATATCTTCCAGGAAAACTTTTTGCAGTATTACTGCTACAGCATGTCTGCTACAAAGGCAGACAGGCACCAATTTAGCTTTGATGAAAAGCACAGATTTGGTTTTATGCAACTGTGTAAACAATAAGGGGGTGGGGAAATCAGGATACAGAGTTCTCTCTAAAGTGGCTCACTGACATACATATTACATCATCCATTTGGCTGTACAGGGAATATTTCCAGACAAGCTATGCCGGTAGCCAAAACCTGCCAACCTTGTCTCAGACATCCATTTAAGCTTAAAAGCAGCATATCAAATGCAGAATTGCATGTTGGGATCCACCAGTTGGCTTGGATTCCTGCTTAGTTCACTGCTCCACAGCATCTTCACTGAGGATATTCAGCCACTGTTGTAAGTTGTCCCTTCATTACACATATTCTGCTCATTGTTCCAAGATCACATCTGATGCAAAAGTGTCATCGAAAGAAAACATACACATGAACTGTGTGCAAGAACTTAAAATGGAATTAAAGAAAATGGATGTCCAGAACACACGCAGGACTCTCACAGTCTGGCAGGACAGCATTCAAACTAAAAGTACTCAGCTCTCTCTTCTTCCTTTCCGACCCTATACCTTTGTTTTAGAGATACTAGTTAGGATACTAACAATTGAAAGGTTTCAGAGTAGCAGCCGTGTTAGTCTGTATTCGCAAAAAGAAGAGGAGTACTTGTGGCACCTTAGAGACTAACCAATTTATCTGAGCATCCGATGAAGTGAGCTGTAGCCCACGAAAGCTTGTGCTCAAATAAATTGGTTAGTCTCTAAGGTGCCACAAGTACTCCTTTTCTTTTAAAATTGAAAAAGGAACAGTCAAGAAAATAAACAAAGTGATAATTTCCTGTGCTTTTAATAGGATCATGGCATTCATAACAGATTTAAGAGGTGCAGTGAAGTAACATTAATAGACATAACACTATCTGTTGGCCCTGGAATGAGTGGGTAGGAGAGAGTTAAGAAAAATGGAGTATAGGAGATCTGGGTGAATGTAATACCATATACTTTTTAATTATTTGAGGATCAAAAAGCATTAACTAATTAATAGTCAGCTATATGCCTATTAAGTGCGTCTAGAGAAAAAGAGATACTTTTTATATACTAAAAAAACCCAAAAACGAGCTAGCTAACATGATTTGAAACACTATTTAGCACCTACAGCTGACAGTAACAGCTCATCTCTAAGTAAGTGTTGTTTCAAATTACGTTAGCTAGATCAGGTTTAAAATAAAACACCTTTTCCCATTTTAGACAGACCCCTGCTGTTGAGCGTTTAGCACTATTGAATCAGGCTACTGTTATTTACCTAAATATGGATTTAGATATTTAACTTTAGATATCCAAATTTTAAAATGTTGGCTTAAGTTTCATTTGTAAGTTGTATTTGGATAGTTTTAATTTTTAATGATTTCCCCCCGCACACGCACAAAAACTTAGTTGTTTTTACAGTGTCTGTAATATTTTTTAAATATACATCTTTGTGCTTATACTGCATAGTTTTTGTCAAACTGGATAAAATGTTCTAGCATGCATCTGGTATATATTATACAATTGAAACACTCCGTAGTCTCCTCAGAGATTAGAATAGCCATGTTAAAAGTCTCTATATCCATACTAAAATATCCTTAGTTTCTAAAGGATTCAAATCCTGTGTTAAGAGAATTCTATAATTTACAAGGTAAATTATAACTTGTTTGTTATACACTAAGAAACATTTTGGATCTTACAGTTTTTCACTTCAGTTTGCTTCTGATTCTTTCCTGAAAAATGATGCAATACTCCAAATAAAGGCAATGCAGAATGAGTACCTGCAAGCAACAGATCAATGATAGATGAGACAACAATGTGTTTACAAGAGCAGAAAACATTCTGAATATCAAATATCTGCAGAGTTGTCTGCACTGCTCTGTATCTTTGCCATGAATAGTAGCGCAGAAAAGCGGTATAATTAATCCCCAAGACACAAATGCTTTATAGCTTTTCACTCAAAGTATTGCGCAGATATACATTTACAGCAATCTTTTCTACTGCAATTCACAACAATCTAATCTTTAATTCACACAAAGACCTGCAAGGGGAAGAGTGAAGATATGCATATTAATACCTGCATGTTTCATCAACATAATGTAATCTTTATTTGTGAGTAATTACGGAAACCAGAGAGGGATTAGCCTGTGGCCCAAAGATAAATTTACTGAAATTAACATATCATGCCCACAATTGTAAAAGGTGAATTTTGAAACAAATTAAACCAGGTTCTATTTGTGTACAAATTTAGTTATATTCTTATTCTGAAACAAACACTCACTAAGTCAACCACTTACAAAATACTTCAATGTAAAAAGATTAACCATTATGGTTCAAGTTAGGACCTTTTAATTCTTCAAAACACATGAATTTTGGCACCTTAAAAATCAAAGTAACTTTATTTCAGTAATATCAAACATCTAATATTGTGCCTCTTATCCTGAAATCAATGTGTGCTCTGGGTCATTATGCATGTATTCCTCAACATATTTGAGGAAAAACTTCAAAGTCATACATATATGCGGATACAGTTAGAACAAACAACTTTTATTTAAACAAGTGTCTTTTGAAGAGGATTTAAATCCCCCACCCCCACCCGCAATCAACTTTCCCAGTATTTATGGTTATTGCAAAGGGAGACTGATTTAATTATTTTAATGAGGAAGTATTCAAGTAGACTGGGCTAAGTATTAAAAACCAACAAATGCTCCCCCTAACTCATTTTAATGGGAGCTGTTAGCATGTAACTGACAGAATGGTCAGGGCTAGATGGCTAGTAGTACATCAATTTTCCTCAGCACTGCAATTAATACTTATAGAGAGAGTTATAAAAGCTCTCAAACCAATAAAAAACAAATTCAGAGTTAAGGCTGCTTCTCTTTTAACTTACTTGTCTTTCACTCTGCAAGAACTCTGCTTGCTGAAACAAAAACTGGCAGTTTATACACCAAGGCCCAGATCCCCAAACGTATTTAGGCATCTAGCTCCCACTGAATTCAATGGCAGTTAGGCACCTAAATATGTTTGGGGATTGGCCAAAGGCCTGATTCTTCTTTCACTTAGACCATTTTCAGACTGGCATTGTAACTCCATTGATGTCCATAGGGTTACGCCTCATTTACGCAGATCCAGATGACCAGAGAATCGGGTCCTGAGAATCTCCTTGCTTTTGCCGATTCAGAGTACAAACAAAACAATTATATATTATGCATCCAGGCACCTGTTTCAATGCCAGCTGGGGTACTTTGAGGGTATACTCTGCCTGAAATCAGAGTACAATTCATTAAAATCATAGCAAATATTACTCACTGAGCAGAGTCTGTATAATGGTTGCCAGGAACATAGTGTGCTAGTTCAGTCTACTACCTAGCAGTGAATCATTGACATAACCGACTTACCTAGCCACAATGGCCAACTACTACTAAATATGAACTTTGGTGCACTGTAAGGATCGCAAGTCTTTTTCCTTTCTCATTATATGAGCAAAGTCCATAAAATTGGATGCATTGGTACCTATTTTAACCTTAAACCAACTGAGTAAAACATAAAAATGTTGCAATCTAAAGTAGGCAATCCCAAGACAGTAAACGTTAACTTTGCTGTTACTAAGTAAATGCCCAACATTAATAAGTAAATTGGTGCATTTATACATAGTCTCTTAAACCCAGTAATCCTTCCTCTTCTTATTCCCACCCCTGCCCCCCTAAAGAGCCAGAAATTGTACAGGTAAGGCTGCAAAACTTAGAGACAGTTAGTTTCCTCTGTGAACAGCATAAAAGTGTTGATTTTCTATTTACTATATTCAGTATGCTTAATTTATTTGTCATAGATCTTCTCTCTGTTTGGTAGCTCGGTTGTCTTCTTTGAGGGGTTTTGATTTCTTGTCTGCATTTTTTTTCTTGTTAGTTTTCTCTGGTTTGGTTTTATTTTTTACTTTTTCACTTTCTTCTGCTCCTTTCCCAGGATACACTTGACCTTCTAGAGTTACATCTGCACACCTCTCCTGATTTACCAGAAAGTCTTTGATCTCCCACGCATAGCTCCCATCACGTAGCATATAGATGGCACGATTTGAGCCAACAATAAACCTAGATGAAAAAATACTGTCAATTAGCATTAGGTCTTTGAAGTGCTAAAAACATGATGTTTCATTTAGAGCAATTCCGAGAGTAGGGTGCACTTAGTAGCATTAAGTGGTACATCTGCTTTTTTAAAAAAAAGCAGATAGTGCTCAACTTAAATACACACCATGGCAGCAAGTACAATTTCTTATTAGTCTCTCCAAGAAATTTGCTGTTATACAGCTACGGCTATTAGCTACACATAAAAGTGTTGATATCTTATAATTAAGCCTGCGAGTTTGTCACAGAGGTCACGGATTCTGTGACTTTCCATGACCTCCATGACTTCTGCAGCGGCCAGTGTGCCTGGCTCAGGAAGCTCCTGTGCCAGTCGCATCAACCGCTGCTGGTGCAGTCTGGCCACCATGTGCCCAGCAGCAGAGTTTGGGTGTGGGATGGGGCAGGAGGTTGGGGCATGGGATGGGGTGAGGCAGATTCTGGGCAGCGCTTACCTGGGGGCTCCCCAGAAGTGGTGACATCCCCTTCGCTCAGCTGCTAGGTGGAGGCATGGCCAGGCAGCTTTGCGGGCTGCCTCTGCTCAGAGCGCTGGCTTTGCAGCTGTCATTAGCAGGGAACCACGGCCAATGGGATCTTCGAGGCCAGTGCCTGCAGGCTGAGGCAGCAGACAGAGCTTCCTGGACCCCCTGCTTAAGACAGGGCTGAGCGGGGGGGGGGGGGGGGAGGAGATGCTGGGAGGGAGGTGGGGAGAGGCGTGGAGGCAGGTAGGCAAACGCACCCCCGCAAGTTTTAGTCATGGGTATTTTTAGTAAAAGTCAGAGACTGGTCACGGGCCATGAATTTTTGTTTACTGCCCGTGACTTTTACTAAAAATATCTGTGACTAAAACATAGCCTTACTTATAATAAATACTCATTAATATGTATAAAACAAAGCAAAGAGGAAAGTGAAGAATATAAGCTCAAAAACTAAGTAAGAACCAGGACATTAAATTATCTAATGTTTGTGGCTGTATTGAGACTTGGTGCCTTCAAGGAAACCACAGAAAGACACATTTGCCTATGTTTCAAAAATGTGGTTGATGAATACTTAAGAATATATGAAAAATATTATAAAATTCCATTAAGTAGCTCATAAATAAACTGCCAACATGCATTAAATTCTTTCACATAAAAAGAAATAAACAGTATTCCATTACTGGTTGTAAGATCAATATAACAACAGAACTTTGTCTGCCTCCTCATCAGCACAGACAATCTATCATCCTTCTATTTCAAAAAGATCTCTGAACGTTTATTTTTAGTAAAAGGAATTAAAAACTTAGTGGTGACACAGACTTCCAGGTGCAATGCTTTCCCATCAAGCACATAAACAATTACAATTAAAAAGACATATGGCTGGATTGAGTTAGAAAAAGGCTAGGCCATACAGACACTATGACTAAGGGCTGGTCTACACTATACAGTTAGGTCGACATATGGCAGCTTATGTCAACCTAATTATGTCAACGTCTACATTACAGCCTTCCTCCCACTGATGAAAGTGCCCTACCACGCCAATATAATAACTCTACCTCCATGAGAGGTGTAAGGGTTAGTTGGTATAGTTAGGGCAACACAGTGTCTGTGTAAACGCTGCGTCCCTTACACTGGCTGTCTTGTCAATTTCACAGCAGGCAAAAGAAACCCCCTGCTCCCTGCAGAGCTGGGCGGCTGGACCCTGCCCCCGGCTGAGAGCCAGGGCAAGAAGCCCAGGTGGCTCCCTGCCTGCTCCTGGCACTACTGGCAGGAAGCTACCAGCGGAGCTGAGAGACTGGATTCTCAGGTCCCCACACTGCCCCTCTTAGGTTGGTGGAAGCGCTGCTGGTGAGGATGCACACCACTGACCCAAAGAGGGTAGTGTGGACATGCACCACCACAGAGATTACTTCGGTGGCTGTAAGTCGACCTCACAAAGGTTGACTCATGTTTATAGTCTAGAGCAGGGATCGGCAACGTTTGGCCCGCGGCCCGGCAGGGTAAGCCCCCCGGCAGGCCGGGTTGGTTTTCCTGCTGCGTCCGTAGGTTCAGCTGATCGCAGCTCCCATTGGTCGCGGTTCACCGTGTCAGACCAATGGGGGCTGTGGGAAGCGGCGCAGGCTGAGGGATGTGCTGGCCGTGACTTCCCGCAGCTTCCACTGGCCTGCAGCGGCGAACCGCAGCCAGTGGGAGCTGTGATTGGCCAAACCTGCAGATGCGGCAGGTAAACAAACCAGCCCGGCCCGCCAGGGTAACGCAGGACAAACGTTGCCGATCCCTGGTCTACACATACCCTAAGTCTTAAAAAGCTTTGTATAACTGACCACATTACTACCAAGGAGGCTTGAAGGAAGGTTAAAAAGGTATAAACAGTGATTTAGGAGAGCAAAGGTACTGAGAGAAACAGAACAGCTTTGAAGAACACTCTGAGAAAGAAACATCAGGGTCCTGTCAAAGCAATACAGAACTTTGAAGACAATTGTTTACCTTTGTACATCATAGTTTGCATTGAAGAGACTGCCCTGCCACAGGCTGGTAATTTCCTCAGTCTCCTTTTCAGTGGGATTTCCTGACACTGTGACAAACATCATAAGAGTCTTCCCTTTTTTGGTCATTTTCAGGATACTTTCAGGCTTGCTTGGATCAATTTCGGAGAAATCTATTGGTGCTGATGGCCTTTTGTGTTCAGGAAGATCTCCCTCTTCTATGTCATCATCTTTCTGTTTTGAAACAAACAGATTTTAATTACACATTAAACTTAAGATGCCACCTCGATATAAACTCCAACCTATTGCAAAACTATTCTTTTGATATTTGTCACTGTTTAGCTTAGAGAATTATTAGACGCTGCTTGTGATAAAGAGAACGTTGGGTTTGATTTAATGATGAGGATTCCAAAATAAAGACAAATATAGCAAATTGCATCTCCTGAGCTCTTTACTGGGAGACTGCTCCAACTCTTAAGTTGTATTTACTGACCTTCTGTGAATCCTTCCCTTCCCTCCCCCATCACCTTATATATGCCACATGCTTAGGGAAGAATTCTGCCCTTATTCACACCCCTGAAGTCCCACTGACTTCAATAGGGATACAAGGGTAAAAAACTACAAACAAAATTTGACCCATTCATTGCATACTACATAAGAAATGTAATTTAATTGGCACCAAGACAGTTACGTCATCCACATGCTCTATATACTCATTTATGCAAGACACAAAGAAGCAATAAACACTTCAATGCATCTTGTATACTTTGTGGAACAAACAAAGGCAGTGTTGCAATGTACATGTACACACACACACACACCCACCCTCTTAAGCGTTAGTAGCTTTTTTTTTTTTTTTTAAATTTAGGTCTCCTGTACATTTACCTTCATTTCTACACCATGCCCTATACCATCTTATGTATCAGGTATTATCCTCTGACCACAAGATGGAGACAGGAAAAGACAATGCAATGTATCTTCCCCTTTAAAGGGGCTGGTTCGGATGAATGAGTGCAGCTGTCTTCCTGTCTGGAACAAGTGGAGTTTGCTTTTATACTGATTGACCTAAGTTTTTAAATTGAATCTCTATCACAATGTTGTTCTCCAGTCTTTTACTTTGGGGAATTAGAGTGTCACTTCTTAAATAGGTATTTAAGCTTTTCCTTCTTCAGTGCTTGCAAACTAGTTTTGATTGAACTTTTGTGAGTGGTGTATACAAAGCATGGCGGGAGGGAGGAGAGAATAGTTGCCTAATGGATTGAGCTCAAAAATTCTAACTGTGTTCCCAGCTCTGCTACTGATTTATTGTGTAGCCTTGAGTAAATCATTTATGGTGGATTTTTCACAAGCAACTAAGTGATTTAATACCACAAACCCCATGGGAAAAAACAAAAAACCACACTTCAGAAAATCCCATCTTTATTCTCTCTGTCTTAGTCCCCATTCCTGCAAATTGGGAATAGCACTTTTTGGGGATGTTGAGAAAAGCCATGTTTGTAAAGTATTGTGAAAGCATAAAGCATATTATTGAGAAATAATTTTTAGGAAACAGAAAAGCAATTCTCAGTACAATTTTAAAATTAGCTTAAGCCCCACAAATGTAGCTTATTTTGTACTTGTGAAAAGGGGAGCTAGGAATACAAAGTTTCAGCTAACCCTTATACATTACACAAGCTGGCTAACACATGCCTGTTAATATCCATTAGCTGAATGGCTGTGAACATTTATTCATTTTCTCAAAGTAGTATTGCTTTGGTTTGAGTAAGTGTAACCTTCCATCAAAAGGAGTGATTGACAGCTTCTCCACATGGCACTTCAGCACTTGAAGACCTCTCAGAAAGCTTTATAAGAGATACATATTGTGAAGTCCAAAACTACTAACTGAAAGCAAGACAAATAAGTGATTTTCAAGTTTAAAATGAATATGTACGTCTGCCAGGCAAGTATGAACATGAAGTTTCACAAAGAAAGTACTAAATGGATTAAATGATACACATACATTTCTTCTTTATCTGTTTTCTCCTCACATACCCCTTCCTAAAATGAACTCTCTCTATTATTGATTTCCACATACTGTATTGTATATATTTCTATTACAGAATTAGCCAAAGAAACTACGATGATTTATGAATTTAGCTCTGAGCCAAGTCTGGGGAATGCCGAAGTTTAAAATTAGTGCAAGAATAAATGGTTTTAAAGAATACAGGTTTTAGCCATGGAAAGAATTCTGGCGCAGATTTTGGCTCCACTTCTAGCTCTCTTATGCTCTTCAGGCTATACAAAGTAGAAGGAAAGCAACCGTGGAGGGGCTGTTAGAGATTACCCTGACATTTTGGAACCCTTGGGTGGCATAAAGAAGATGTAGTGTGCTCTATGCTACTTGCCCCCCCTAGTATAATGGGAAAGGCCTGAGCACAATGCGTGCTGGCCAATCACTGCCCTCTTTAACTCCCCCTGAGCCATTAAAAGCATAAATTAAAAACCCTTAAACTCTTTTAACTGTTACATGTCTGGTTCAGTCCCATGTGCTCGCAGGTTTGAGACAGGCATAAGGGGGCTTAGTGGTAACTTTGCCTTCCTCATCTGTGTCAAGAATGAGTTCAGAACAGTTGAAGATTATGCCCTGTGTATATAAAAAGATATATGGTAGATTATTTTAGGATGAATGCAAACTTTATTTAATAATCAGGAATTAATCCTCAACATCCCGGTGAGACCGGCAAATATTCTCATTATACAAGTGGGAAAGCTGGGGGTGGGAGGGCCGTAAAATAACTTGTCCAAAGCCACCCAGTAAGTTAGGAGGAGTCAGGAAGTATTAAAATTCAAATCCTGGCTCAGCTAACACCACAACCATTCTTCCATATGGTCTCATTTTTATCAATCACATTCTCTGTTATGACAGGTTTCAGAGGTATACATCTGATGAAGTGAGCTGTAGCTCACGAAAGCTCATGCTCAAATAAATTGGTTAGTCTCTAAGGTGCCACAAGTATTCCATTCTCTGTTATAACGCTCCTTTTCTTCCCTGCCCTTTATCTGCCACTTCCAGTTTCCTCATCCCACACATTTACAACTACTTCAAATTTCCCTTCCGACACCCAGAAGGTTGGGGGAGAGGGTGACAAAGGCAGGGGGACATGAAGAGGAGGAGGAGAGTGCACATATAGCCCTCTTACAAACTCTTCAGCCTCGCAAGGCCTGTGTGCTCTTTTGGCAGCCCCCTGGGAAGGCAGGGTGTGACTCCCACTTTCCAATCCTTGCTGTTGGTTACCATAGAGATAGGAAACACTAAAAAAATAAGGCTGTTCACAAGGAAATATATTAGCTAGTCATGATTACCATCATTTTAAACCAAGGGTTAAATCATGTTTTAACATCATTTTAGTTAAAACATATTAGGTTACATAATTTCTAATGCAACGCTTTTTTCCTGTAGACAAGGCCTTAGTGCCAGTTCATAGAACGAGAAGTCCAGAAGCTGTTCAACAAAAATACTCAATTCAGCAGAATCAGGTGGCTTTTCTCTTCTCTGTAAAAATCTCCTGCGTGAAAGGCACATGCAAAAACCAGTTCCCACACTTTGACTTGGAACCCTGTGTAACTGGGTACAGACAAAAGTGATATATTTTCACCTCTGCTGTTTTCAAAAACTGAACAAAACATTCTGGATAAGAACCATAGGGGAAGGAATGGAATCCGAAGGCTCTGTGGCATTTGGGAGAGGCAAATAGAAAAGACAGCAGATGGGGAGGAAAGAAATAGAAGAGTGTGTAGCAACAGAAGGGTCCATGGAGAGACAGGGAACAGGCAATAAAGGAAAGTTAACAGAACATAAGAACCATCTGACCTAGTATGGCCAATGATCCATCTAGCCCAGTATCCTTTCTTCCTATAGTGGCCGATGTCAGATTCTTCAGAGGGAATGAACAGAACCGGCAATTACTAAGTGATCCATCCCATTATCTGGCAGTCATCATTTTGTATGTATAGCTGGGATTATGTTTTCTAGCGTGCATTACTTTGCATTTAACAGCATTGAATTTCATCTACCATTTTGTTGCCCAAAATACCAAGTTTTGTAAGAGCTGCAGTCAGCTTTGTAACTCGCTGCAGTCAGCTTTGGTCTTAACCCTAACCCTAAGTAATCTGTCTTGAGTAATTTTGTTCCATCCCCAAACTTTGCCACCTCACTGTTTACCCCATTTTCCAGATCTCGTATGAATATGTTTGAACAGCAATAGCCCCAGAACAGATCCTTGGAAGACACTGCTATTCACCTCTCTCCATTGTGAAAAATCACCATTTACTCCTTCCCATTGTTTCCTTTTAGCCAGTTACTGATCCATCCTTCTTAGCCCATAACGGCTTAGTTTGCTTAAGAGCCCTTGGTGAGGGACCTTGTCAAAGACTTTCTGAAAGTCCAAGTACACTATATCCACTGGATCCTCTCAGAGTGACTCTTCCCCAACTAACTGTGTTCATCTGTGTGTCTGATAATTCTATCCTTTAGTTTAATTTCAATCAATTTGCCTGGTACTGAAGTTAGGCTTACCAGCCTGTAATTGCCAGGAACACCTCAGAAGCCTTTTTTAAAAAAACTGGCTTTTACCAGCTGACTGATGGATAGCTAATGTAACAGGCTAATTTAAGCAATAGGTTACATACCACACTTAGTAGTTCTGCAATTTCATATTTGAGTTCCTTCAGAACTCTTGAGTGAATATCTTCTGGTCCCGGTGACTTATTACTGTTTAATAAATAAAGTTATTAACATGTATGAGTTGTACATGTCTGCAAGATTGGGGCCTCAAATAGGAACCAGTTTGAAAGTCAGTCTAGTTGGGAAGAGACAGTGGAGAACAAAGTGGGCAACAATTAGTTGAACTGAGTGATATGTGGTACCTTAATTTGTGCTCTTAACCACAACTACCTAGTAGAAGTCATTTATCTGTTCATTCAATCTCACAAAATAACAATCTACTTGCTCACTAGCGTTGACCACAGCAGAGCTATCAAGCAGGGAGGGAATCAAGTACCGGCCATAGTGAAGTGGACAGGGCTCAAACTGCTCACTCCCAGGGTTACTTGTACTCAGCCCAAACTGTAACTGGGGGTTTCAGGAAGATGAGGGAAGGGGGGTCAAGGGTGACTAGGGTCCTACCTATTCCATCAATACCCCCCCTCCAACCTTTTAACGCAACTACCTGATGGAGGTGGAACATGTCACAGCGGGGCCGAACCCCTTGATCGGCAGGGGAACCCCGACGCCACTAGCACAGTTCGCCCCCCCCCTTGCCAGGGGAACCCCGGCCCGTTCTCCCCCGCCCAGCGGCGGGAACTGGCCATCGCGCTCCCCGCCCAGGCGGACACCGGCTCCAACAGCGGCTTTGCGGGAAGGGCGCCGCCGCCCGTTGGGGCAGGAGAGCGCCCTCCCATCGGTCGCGGCCGAGCTGCGCGGCGCCCCGGGGCGCGGGCGGGCAGCGAACAGCGATGGCGGGGGGAGGATCCGAGAGACCGGAGGCGGCCGAGGGGCCAGCGGGGAGCACACGTCAGTTGGTGCTAAGCGGTGGGGGGCGGGGAAGCTGAGCGGGGACGTGGACACAGGGGGAGCGGTGAGGGACTGAGGGGAGCTCAGTGACGGGGCCACCATGTGGCCTGAGCGGGGCGCCGCGGGTCCCCGGCCCAGCCCGTACCTCCCACTGCTCCAGCAGCCGCGCCATGTCCGCATCGTTATAATCCCGAATGTCCTTCTTCTTCTTGGCGGGCTGGGCCCGCCGCTTCCCCTCCGGCTCGCCGGCCCCGGCGGCCGCGACCAACAACAGCACCACCAGGCCCAGGCGGGCCCAGCTCGCGGCCGCCGCCATCTTCTCCGCGCGGAGGAGGTGCCTCCTCCGCGTCCCGCCTCCGGGGGCGGGGGCAACAGCGGCTCGGCCTCTGCCCGGGGGCCCGGCCTGAGATCCTGGAGCGGGAGGCGGCGGGAGATGGCGGTAGGGCAGCAGCTGCCCCCGGCCTGCGTGGAAGCCCGAGGGAGCTGGAGCAGCGGCTGGCCGGATAGCGGTCAGGGATGGGAACCCCGAGGCGGGAGGGCCGCCCGCCCGCCCTTATCAGGAAGGGGTCACGCCTCCATTCCCAGCCGGGCGTGACACTGGGGGCCAGCCTCTGCACGCGTAGGCCCAGCTCAAGCCCTCCTGGAGGCCGAGGGACTGCCTGGGCGTAACCCAGGGCGGAATTTGGCCTGGTCGCTGTAATGAAAAGACACCCAAGGTTTGAAAAGACCGTTCAAAAAGTGATGTAAACGTTTAACGTCTTTGAGAGGTTGCTCACCGCTCTCCTTCCCTTCAGTAGCGTGAACGGCTGCCCCAAATGTTCAAAAATCATGAGTCAAGCTTGAGATTGGCTTTAAAATCATGAGACTATGTAAAAATAATAGCTGTAGTGTTTTTATTTGCTATCTGCTTTTTGAGCCTTTTAGACGCACGGGGGGGGGGGGGGGTGTCACATTTGAAAGCTTTCTCCACAGCCACAAGGGCGAGAAATGTACTGTTTCCTTAAGAGCCAAGGCTGACATCATCACATATCCACTTGACTCCAGGAGCTGGAGCTTTAAAGAAAACAATAATTATCATGAGACTCAGGACAAAAGCATGAGAGTTGGCAATACTGCAGATGTGTTTAGTCTGTGCTGTAAGGATTGGCTCCCAGTGTTGGAGAGCTTCTGGAACTCGTCCCAGAGATCTCATGCATTTGTAGCAGAAGACTTGCTTTAACTGACATGTAGTCTCTGCAGGGTGAAACAGTAATCGATGGAGGGGCCATAGCTTCTAAGGCAGCTTGGAGAGGGCCAGCACTGCTTTCAGGACCTTGGCAGGTGGACTGGAGTCCATATGACAGGAAGGGCAGCTGGATAGAGGATGTGTCTGAGTGTATGCCCAGAAGTCCAGAGTTTAAGGAAGTGACTGGCCTCTATTCCAGAGCCAGCAAATCTAAGAACCCATGGGATCCAAGGCTTGGGTCTGGTACAGCTGCCTTGGTCTGCCAAGGTGTGCTCAGCTAGGGCTGTAAAAACCATATAATATGTGATCATTTTCTTACGTTTTTACTACAAATGTGCAGAAGAAACAGGAAGCTGTTAAACCATAAGCCTATTCCTGTAGTTTGTTAAATGAACAGTAACCAAAGCAGTGTTTTAATTAGCTGCCATTTCACAAAGCTGTTCCACAAATTATTAATTTACATATTTGTTCAAGGATTTGGCACTGTATCTAATATCTGGTCTGGTATATCAGGTTGCCATAGTTAATGTTGCTTTTATTAAAGATGATTCTGGTAACATTCTTATTGCTGGAAGATGTTTACATTTACTGAAAACATTCACATTTACAGACTAAATATTCAAAGTTTAGAAAGCTGGATCTCTGTCTCTGATTTTGGTGTATGTAAATAAAAAATACAGTCCACTAAGTTTCTAATTTGAAATATTGTCTCTACTAACACATTCTTTCTCTTAAAACCAAAAAAACCCTCTTTACTTTGTCTTCTGTTGCTCCTATTCCACATTCTGCTTGCCTTACTCTCACTTTACCTAAATATAACTACTTGTATGAGTCAGGTGAGTAGGTACTTCTGAATATCCTATAGTGCACAATATTATGCATTCCTTCTAAATGTACTGAAGCTTTTGTATGTTGTATTCTACATTTCAGGGAAAGGAATGTTTCTTATACAAGGCTGAGATCTTACAACTGGCTCCGTGTGGGCAGAACCCCACTCAAATCAATCATGGCTTGCATGGAGCCATTTGCAGGATCAGGGCCTTAGCAAGGGAATGTTTCTGAGCTTTATGGTTCTTCCTACCCCAGTGATACTCATGGAAAACAAGAATAATGCAATCCTAAATATATACCATAGAAGATTGATGTGCATGTAAATAATTGATTAACTTCTAACTTCATTTATTTTTACTCAGGGATAAGTTTTTTTATTTAGTGAATTGGTTATGTTCAGCAAATCACATGGATTTACAAAGAGCACCTTTAAAAATTAGGCACACTTTAAAATCTAAAAACATTCACATTACTTGAAAAGGCTTTTTAAAAACTTTCACTTACAGTCAAGTTGCCTATGCATTTTCTCTGCAGATCACAGCAAAAAGTAAGGCATTCCATCTCCCCAACTGAAGATTCAGTGGTCTATCCAATGGCTTAGAGAGCTGTTCAGATGCAGTCGTACCAGACAACGTGTGCAACAGGTTATCTTTACAGTTAGTGTAAAGCTATGGTAGAAAGTTACTAGGACTGTAAATATACGCCCTCTTGTTAATGTAAAACAAAATTATCTACTGTGGGCTGGTCAGGAAGTGGACCTTTGAGAGAAGTCAGGATGTTCTTAAATTTATCCCTTAAGAATCCCAAATTGGGTTTTTCTTTTTACTTGATTTAAATTGGTATCTATATTTTTAACTCTCAAATTATTTCCCATGTGCAAAATGTGTTGCGTATACCGTGTTCCTTTGGAACTCGAAGATTAAAGAACCTGGTTTTTGGCTGAAGAAAGACTCTCTGTTTTTCTGTTTCCTAAATATTAGAAGGAGGAAGAGGTGGCAGCTGGAGGACATGCAACTGGAGGTCCAGCTATGCTGCAAGCCAGGACCTGTTTGAGACTCCACCACAGTCCAGTCAGTCCTGGCAGTCGAGCACAGGTGAGTTTGATGCAGGGGAAGGAAGCTCGAGCTAAGTGTATACGAGTAGTTCCCATTACAATGATGGTGTCCCCAACTTAATAGGACGCAACTATCGACATTTGATTAATTTGTACTAGAAAAGATAGCAGTACAACAGAGAGAGGTAGAGTTGTTATCTTCTTCTATTTCCCTGTAGATTTAGGCGAGTGGGGAGAGATGTGGAGCAGTTTGTTTATGTTCACAAGGATGCCCCTTGAATCCTGAGAGAGCTTGATGAAACTTTCATGTTCTCTGCAATCCTTTCACAAAGGTTCCTAGGGATGGCAGCCTTATTTTTTTCCTCCGTGGTAGGATGCTCTCCCACGCCAGTCAGTGATAACTTCGGAAGGCACCATTGCAATAAACAGGCTAGCAGAATATGAGTCTGGGTGGCTTCGGGATGCCAGCAGCAGCTGTGCTCTCCATGCCTTTGTTACCCTCAGAAGTGAGATATCAGCTAAAATCACCACTGCTGGTGGAAAATGCTGCCAGTATTCAATGCCATTGCCCTATACTCATAGTATTATGCAGCTGAACAATTCCTTCCTCATTTCCCTTATCCCTGGCGGGCCATACTTACCGTCGCTGGTGTTGTGAGTGGTGTCATGCAAAGTGTCCATAGGCATGTATGGTTAAAACTTTAGGGGACCAAGGGAAGGGAGTTCTGAATCTTAACTTTCACTTTCCATTGTGACTATACTGACAATGATACCTCTCTGTGTTTTATCTGTAGCTGCTGCTGTAGTGGCCTTGAGGGGTTCCCCCTCCACACCTCCTGGAATGCCTGAGCCAGATAAGGAGGAGAAAGAAGAGGTCTTGAGATGACACGTTGAGCAAGATCCTACAAGCTGGTGCTTCATCAGATCACGAGCAGAGGGCCTGGAGGATGAATATTGCAGACTATATGGAGAAGGAAAGAGTGGACATGAGAAAGGCCCAGAAGTTCCAACAGGAAAAGGAGAGGGAGATTCGCCAGGACATAATGGGGTTTTTCCAGCAGCAAACACAGATGCTGCAGACTCTTGTGGACCTACAAGTTCAACAATCATGGGCTCGCCCCCCCTTTGCAATCCCTGGATAACTCAATTTTAGCACCTCCCTACATCCCCCTCAGTATTCCATGTGGCATCAGGGGTTGCATCCCTCTCACTCCATACTGGGAGACAGTTAGGACAACCACAGCTTCACACACGTTGACCGGTGAGAGCCATGGTTGCTATAGGGGTGTCCCCAAAATGGATGTTTCCCCTTGTTAAGTTCTGTTCCATGTGCTGCAGAATGCCTGGTGGTACTGAAAGCAACCATTTACGGGTTATTGTACAGTATGACAACTCATAGGATCAGTGACAGTGTAATAATCATAAATGTACAGTGAGCACCACAAAATGAATAGGTGCATTGACCGTGTTATATTCATAGATGCACACCAAGCACCACACAATTGCTAATAGCCCTCAAAACTGCAGGGCCAGGTAGATCACAGCCCACCATAACACATTACTGTGACTGGCTCTTAAAGTGCTTCTTCAAAGCCTCCCTGAGCCCTATAGCTTTGCATTGAGCTTTTCTAATGCCCTTGTGTCAGGCTGTTTGAACTCAGCATATAGCTGCTTCACCTGCGCCCTTCTCCCCTTTGCTTCACAAGATACTGTGCAGGACACAACTGGTAGCTATAACCATTGGGATATTTTTTTTCACTGATATCCAGTCTTAGGAGTAAACAGTGCCAGTATCCTTTCATTCTACCAAAAGTACATTCAACTGTCATTCTGCGCCTGCTGAGCTGGTCATTGAATCTTTCTTTGGTGCTGTCGTGGCAAGTATATGGCTTTATGAGCCAGGGAAGCAAGGGTAGACTGAGTTCACCAGGATCACCATTATTTCAACATTGCCAATGGTAATACACCGGTTGGAAAAGGAAGTCCTGGCTTGCAGCTTTCTGAACAGTTCTGTGTTCTTAAAGATGCAAGTATCATGCACCTTCCCTGACCAGCCATTACTGATGTCACTGAAGCATCGCCGGTGATACACCAATGCTTGCATAATCATAGAAAAGTAGCACTTTTTGTTGACATACTCTGAGGCAAGTTGGTCCAGTGCCAAAATAGGAATACACGTGCTGCCTGTTGCTCCACTGCAGTTCAGAAAACACGTTACTGCAACTCCATTCACTATGTCCTGCATTGCCAAGAGTCACACTGCTGCATAACAGGAGACTTTTGATGGCCCCCACAATGGATTTTCCACTTCCAGAATGTTTTCCCACTGACCAGAATCAATGCAAAGTTACAAGTTTCCACAGTGCAGTCACCACTCAATTCTCTATTGTCAATGCAGCTCTCATTCTGGTGTCCCTGAACTGGAGGGCTGGGGTGAGATCCAGGAATCTTGGCCTTGTAAGTTGTGCATCTGAAAGTTTTGCAGCCACTGCTTGTCAGCCAAAACCTGCATTACAATGCAACCCCATCAGTCAGTGCTTGTTTCTGAGGGACAGAAGCGGCACGCCAACATCTGCAGCTGCTCTGTGAATGCTACCAACAACCTTGAATTGGTTTTCACTATGTTCCATAACAATGCTGGAGGATCATGCGTCCTGTGTTTGCAATGCTCACGAGCTTCTGTCAGAGATGGTGGACAACAAGCAGGGTTACATGGATGTGTGAGATTTTTTTTTTAAATGATTGGATATGGATGATATTATGGGATGGAGAAAGATGCTTGCTGGGAAGTTAACCTCTAGCTCCCAGTCCCCCTTGCACGTTTCTGCCCCACCATGCATTGCCAAAACATCCTAAAAGACAATGTGTTGAACATAGACGAGTTGCACACTGGGATACCTACCCATGGTGCATCAACAAAAGTGCTCCTGGTGAGTATGCACACCATCAACACGGGGAGCCAAGTATACATGCACACAAGCAGTAAACTAACTGTGGTTGCTTTATGCCCATATAACTTGCAGCAGCAAAAGTTTGTAGTCTAGCCATGACCTCAGTATCACTTCAGGAGCCTTGAATCCATTTCACTCATGAAGTGAGAATATACACTAAGTAGATTGGTTAAGTTTAGAGAACAGATATGTTGTTTGCCACAGCTAGCCAGAGCCCAGATATAGGCTCAAGCTGCAAAATTCAGGACTGAATCCAAACTTTTTCAAAGTTAGGGTTGGTTGGGATCTAGCTCATAGTCTGAGCCAGCCATGAAGCTCTGATTCAGCCACTGATTTCTCCAAAATTCAGGGCTATACTGATCTGGAGTTTAGACTTGGCCATATCTTTACAATTAACCATACACATACATACACAGTAATGTATTTTATGTATATAATGACACTATGAATTAACTGCATCCTGACTGACTAAGCCAAGCTTTTGGGGGAAGTGCTGTGCCAGCTTTGTTGCTGGAATCCATTGATTTCACCAGTTGGCACAAATTCCATAGATATAAATTCTGTCCAAGTGCTGCATTATTCAATCAGCTCCAGTAGGGCTAGACATTGTTACCTTTAATCTCTGCAATGCTGTAGAATATCCATGTTAATGTTAGTCTCATTGTAAAATTTGCTTTTATTTCAACTGCAAATTTTCACGGATTATACCTACATATTGATCATGTAGATTCTGATTATCATGTTAGGAAAGAATTAGGGGAAATGAATGTTGGATGAGGCTCATGCATCTCCCCTAGGGACTCCAGTTGTAGTCTAATTTCCCATTCCAAGTTAAATTAATTTTAGAGTCTCAGTTTGGTTTTAGGTTATTTACAGCCCAGTTTTGGCACCCTTACTCAGAGTAAGTAGTACCTTACTTTGCAAGGAGTCCCATTGATTTTTAGTAGGACTACTTGCAGAGTAAATTACTACTAAATGGGAGTTAAGGTGCCAGAATGAGGTACCTCTAATTATTAGCAGCTCTCCTTACAGAACACACACAAAGTGGGGAGATTGTAGGATTGGGGAATTTCTGCAATGATAACATGAAAAACATCTATTAAAGCAGGCTGATGGTATATATTAAAAAAAAACAAAAACCTTTCAGAGCTGTACAGCTGCAGGACACAACCCATTTACCAAAAGAGCAATCCAGGAAGGGTGGGCCTCTGCACATTTTGTAGCAAACACTTTGATCTTAACAAAAACAGACCTAAGGGTTTTAAGGGAAGGTCTGGGATTCCTATTTATGCTGGACCATTCTTAGCAATCTGGTATTCACAACTGTATAAAGTGCTTTGGAATTTCAAACCAGTCTGTGTCTACAAGCATGCTAGATTGTGTCTGGCTCTGTTTGGGTGTGCAAAGAGAAGAGAGAGGCCACAAGGAACCACTTTGCCCTCTGCCTACCCCTAGGTGCTAGCCTCATGAAATGGCTTATAGGGAGGGAAGATGGAAACATGAGGTGGAGGTCATTAGAGCTCTCAGATTGGGCCAGCATAGAAAATGTATGCTGCAGCCTTCCAAAGAGTGGCAGAGCAGTTTTAGAGCTACATTTTCTTTTTAATTAAATGTTTTTCTTTTCTCTGTTGCTGTGTGAAAGACCCACACTAAGAGTAGGGGGAAACTGACTATATATGGGAAACAGTGAAAACAACTTTCCACAAAGTTGTGTCACATAAAGAGCACAAAATGAAAAAGTTTTTTTTTCTTCCGATCTCTTTCAGTTTAAAGTAATCTTAGATGTCATGTGCAGCAACAGGAGCTAAACATATTTCAAACATAACTGATGTTTAAGGTGCTGGTATTTTTCTTTAATTGTATTTTTCTCATGTCACAAATAGAACTTTTGATTATACAGCGTGAAACTAAAGTTGCTCAAAATGTGAAAAATCAGGTCTTTTTTTTTTAAAGAACACTGCTACTATGCCAAAAACTAAAGACATACAATTATTTTAGAATATGAAAAATCAAACTTGTGCAAAGATATAACATTTATGTTATTTGTATTTTGCTGACTGTCACAGTTACCAGTTTAACTGGGTCCCTGACTCCTGGTGTCTCTGAGTGCACCCCCAATCCAGGTCTCAGGACTTGGGCCATCATGTCTCATGGGATGAAATCATGGGATTCTCCTGCTCTCAAACCAGGCTTTGGGTTGCAATCCCTGGTGTATCAACCATGATTACTTCAGCAGATCTGACTTGGGCTTTGACCCTGCCATTGTGTTCCCTCAGGCTCAGGGAGCAATGACAGTTGTAACCAGTGACCAGACAGCTTTCTTAAAGTAAAGTATTATTTATTTAGAATCAAAGTATGTAAAAGAAAACAGATCTTAAAAACAAGAAAGTAGTCTACACACTTGCCTGTGTTTCCCTAAGGCTTACCATTTCCTGGATCTAGGAAGATCCAATTTCTTTCAGACTGCTCTGCAGACCCTCTCTCTGTGTCAGTTAGCCTGTCCTTCTGAGAATTCTCTCTCTCTCACGCACACACACACATGCTCCTGTCTTCTTCTGAAAAGGGCTTTTTAACTGTTTAATGTCATTTTAATCTCTACTTCCCAGCCTGGCAAAACAGCTGTATAATTTCAATCTGGATCCCAGTGCCATTGTCTTGTAATTGCCACCTCAAGTGTTTTGTCAGAGGTTACTTATCTGGGGAGCCATTGTGTTGCCTTCCTATTTCTTCTTCCCACAGGCCCCTATTAAACTATCTGAGTGCCTTCATTCAGGAAAATTTTATAATCTATACCCAATTTATAATACCCTCCCCTCACTGACCAGGGAACAATTTATCAAATTGTTATATCTCAATATTCTTAGATTATTAAATAGCATCTCCATATCTGTCACATTGGAAAATCAGTCTTTCTTTCACATTTCTATAAAGCAATAAAAAAGTTCAAGTTTCTGCAATAGGGATAATGGTAGCATGATAAATGGGAATGAGGATATGGAGGTAGACATCACCATATCTGAGGTAGAAGCGAAACTCAAACAGCTTAATGGGACTAAATCGGGGGGCCCAGATAATCTTCATCCAAGAATATTAAAAGAATTGGCACAAGAAATTGCAAGCCCATTAGCAAGAATTTTTAATGAATCTGTAAACTCAGGGGTTGTACCGTATGATTGGAGAATTGCTAACATAGTTCCTATTTTTAAGAAAGGGAAAAAAAGTGATCCAAGTAATTATAGGCCTGTTAGTTTGACATCTGTAGTATGCAAGGTCTTGGAAAAAATTTTGAAGGAGAAGGTAGTTAAGGACATTGAAGTCAATGGTAAATGGGACAAAATACAACATGGTTTTACAAAAGGTAGATCGTGCCAAACCAACCTGATCTCCTTCTTTGAGAGAGTAACAGATTTTTTAGATAAAGGAAACGCAGTGGATCTAATTTACTTAGATTTTAGTAAGGCGTTTGATACTGTGCCACATGGGGAATTATTAGTTAAATTGGATAAGATGGGCATCAATAGGAAAATTGAAAGGTGGATAGGGAATTGGTTAAAGGGGAGACTACAACGGGTCCTACTGAAAGGTGAACTGTCAAGTTGGAGGGAGGTTACCAGTGGAGTTCCTCAAGGATCAGTTTTGGGACCAATCTTATTTAATCTTTTTATTACTGACCTGGGCACAAAAAGTGGGAGTGTGCTAATAAAGTTTGCAGATGATACAAAGCTGGGAGGTATTGTTAATTTAGAGAAGGACAGGGATACCCTACAGGAGGATCTGGATGACCTTGTAAACTGGAGTAATAGGAATAGGATGAAATTTAATAGTGAGAAGTGTAAGGTCATGCATTTAGGGATTAATAACAAGAATTTTAGTTATAAGCTAGGGACACATCAACTAGAAGTAACGGAGGAGGAAAAGGACCTTGGAGTATTGGTTGATCATAGGATGACTATGAGCTGCCAATGTGATATGGCTGTGAAAAAAGCTAATGTCATCTTGGGATGCATCAGGAGAGGTATTTCCAGTAGGGATAAGGAGGTTTTAGTACCGTTATATAAGGCACTGGTGAGACCACACCTGGAATACTGTGTGCAGTTCTGGTCTCCCATGTTTAAGAAGGATGAATTCAAACTGGAACAGGTACAGAGAAGGGCTACTGGGATGATCCGAGGAATGGAAAACTTGTCTTATGAAAGGAGACTCAGGGAGCTTGGCTTATTTAGCCTAACTAAAAGAAGGTTGAGGGGAGATATGATTGCTCTCTATAAATATATCAGAGGGATAAATACCAGAGAGGGAGAGGAATTATTTAAACTCAGTACCAATGTGGACACAAGAACAAATGGATATAAACTGGCCATCGGGAAGTTTAGACTTGAAATTGGGCGAAGGTTTCTAACCATCAGAGGAGTGAAGTTTTGGAATAGCCTTCCGAGGGAAGTAGTGGGGGCAAAAGATCTATCTTGCTTTAAGATTAAACTCGATAAGTTTATGGAGGAGATGGTATGATGGGATAACATGGTTTTGGTAATTAAATGTTCATGGTAAATAGGCCCAATGGCCTGTGATGGGTTTTTAGATGGGGTAAGATCCAAGTTACCCGGGAAAGAATTTTCTGTAGTATCTGGCTGATGAATCTTGCCCATATGCTCAGGGTTTAGCTGATCGCCATATTTGGGGTCGGGAAGGAATTTTCCTCCAGGACAGATTGGAAGGCCCTGGAGGTTTTTCGCCTTCCTCTGTAGCATGGGGCACGGGTCACTTGCTGGAGGATTCTCTGCTCCTTGAGGTCTTCAAACTACAATTTGAGGACTTCAATAGCACAGATATAGGTGTGAGGTCTTTTTTAGGAGTGGTGGGTGAAATTCTGTGGCCTGCATTGTGCAGGAGGTCAGACTAGATGATCATAATGGTCCCTTCTGGCCTAAATATCTATGAATCTATGAATCTATGAATACGGAAGCCCAAGGTGATCTAGAGAAATTAACTTTATAACATGATCGAAAGATTCAGGAAACAAAACTCCACCCAGCTAGTTAAAGCTTTTCATTTTTGTTGTTGTATTAAGCACAAGGAAAGGGAAGCATGAAAGTGGCCAAAGAGAAGAGCTCACACAAGTGAGTCAGCCTCCCACACACTGCTAATCCATATTCAAAAGCATTTTTAATCCCTTCCAGTGTAGCTATGCAAGCAATTATTAGCCTTGAGAGTCGTTTGAGCCTTGTACGCGCTCAGTGGAATCTCTCAAGCGCTGCCACCTGACTTCCATGTCTGATAATCAAGCTAGGAAGCACAAAATAGGAGGTATGACATCTTTGTTGACCAGTTTGTCAGACGGACTATTAAAAAATGTCCTAGAGTTACTCTTTGAACGCTGCAGCTGTGGAGCCCAGCAGATCTGCAGAGGCTCTCTTTGGAAGAGAGGTGCAGAGATCTTTCTAAAGAGCCCACACAGACACTATTGAGTCATTTAAAAGTTTAATCTTAAACAAGGTAGATACATCTACTGGATCCTAAAAATGTAAGGAGCAGATCTTTAGCTAGTGTAAATTGGTGTAGCCCCACTTAAGTCACTGGAGCTAATCCTATTAATACCTACTGAGAATCTGTCTTAAAATAAGACATTGTTTAAACTCAAATTATGACGTCCCCCAAAACTGCTATAATAACCCGCATTGTCACTATGAAGAGAGGGTGCATAGAGGGGTGAAGAACTGCCATATTCTGGACCCACCCAAAACACAGTGTCCACATTCCCCCACCAGCTCTGAGGCAACACTTTCTTTGTTCAGAACGGTGTGCATCCTGCTAACATAATTGCTTTCAGAATGGTTGTGCATCCTGCTAACATCACTCTCAGATAAAAATGATCAGGTGAGTCAAAAAGGCCAATAGGGCATTTTCAGTCAACTGCTGAAAATCTGAGCAAACAAATCTGTTGCAAGATCAATCGAAATCTCTGTCTACAAATGCTTGCGCTCTATCTGGCTTGTGGTGCAGAATGTATGGTGCTTACAGAGGCACTGATGCAGCACATCAATGGGAAGAACTCAGTAGCAGATGCCTCAAGAGATTTATGCATGTCCTAGTATAGAAATTAGAGGAGACACTAAACAAATACTCCCAGCTCTATGATTAGCAATAGATCAAATCAGATCATGGTCATCCACGATCATTAGGTCATGGTCATACATTTCAATTGCAGAGGAGCAGAACATCAACTGTCACTGGGGAGGAAAAATACACTGTAAAGGACAGATGGTAATTTGGAGACAGTATCAACAACACATTGAAGGGCAACATTTGCTATTTTTGCTTATCACCAATCCTGAGGCTAGTGAACAGTGGTCCAGTCTTCTGGGGCAACTTA